ACGTCATGCATCATTAATCAATAAGCTTAGCACTGGATCCATGGTTTTTAAAATCGAGGTTCCATCTTATGAAGGTTGCTTTTAGCTGAGGTTCTCATTAATCATGGATTAAGGGTTTGCTTCCTTATGCTTGGAATTATCAGATAAATCTTGGGGTTTGGTCTTATAATTATCTTGGGTTTGTTCTCAGTGCTTGGGCTTGTTCATCATGTGAGAGGTAACTTCATTGTTACTTATGATGCAGGACTTTCAACTGGACTTCTTTCAAAAGGCTCTAAACTTAGACAAGAAAATTCTTTGGGTTCATGAAGTGAGATGTTTCTTTAGTGTGTTAGCACTTATCTTTGGAAGTTAGGGTTTATTTCCCTGTTCATGGGGTGATCAAGAGGCTCGTTGGGTAAAGTCTTATTCTATGAGCATGAATCAGTCCAATTAGGTTTCTTTGGGGCTATCATATGGCATATTTCAACGTTAGGGCTTCATTGGATTTTGTCATTTTTCAAAGTATGGTCGGCTTGGTTATTTGGGTTACAAGTCAGTATTTTGAACCTTATACAAGAGTTTGGGGGAGAAATGGTGGAATTAGAATATCACATCAAAGGTTTAAATCTTTTAACCAAAGTCCTTAAAAAATTTGGGCTTTTTCCTTACCACCACATGGTTCTTACTCGAGCTTACAAGTTTGAAGTGGAAAATAGAATTTCAAATACAATCCGGAGGAAAAAGAGTTTCAAATTTTATTCAAGGGAATATTATTTCATTACAAGATATTCATTACAAGATAGTATTCAAAATAATGTCCATCTACACCATTACCACAAACAGAATTACATGAAAATATTACAAGTTTTGACCAAAGTCAGCACACTACTTGTTGACCCTTCTTAAACCTATGCAAAACTTATCCATCTTCACTCTCATTCTTCTAATTCCACGACCAATCTTCATGCTTATTACTTCATGGCTTAACTGTGCCTTTGCAACTTCTCCACTTCCAAACCTATTCAAGCATAAAGGAAAAAGAGGTGATTAATATCAAGACTGCCTTAACTAGAGGAAAATTAAGTAACCTGCTTTCACTTTAAAATTCATAAAAATCCAATTCCAAAATAGCCCTGCACATAAAAAAGAGTTTATAACAGTTTTTCTAACTTAACCAACCCAAAAACAGTTACAACCAAAACTTCTTAACCACCCTATAACTACCATAACCGATGCCAGCTCATCAACTTCATACCATAACAGAAAGCTAACTGAAAACCAGTCCATAACTAACTTCCTAACAGACTCAAAACAGGAGGGGAGGGAGAGAATCACGTTGAATTCTCAGAAGGGACTCACCATTAGATCTTCATCTTTTCTCTACTTCTGCAACGAAAGCTTCCTTCTGCTCTCTCTAGCGATAGTTTCAGCAATCATCATCCACATTTCTTCTTCTAGAATCTTTCTCATCTCTCTGAAACAGAATAATCTTCATCGACGATATCATCATCTCTGCAATCTCTCTGTAAGTCGCTTCATCATCTTCATCGTAAAATGTAAACAACAACAACAACAATTTCATACAACTCAAGCACAAAATTCCTAAAGAAGAAGAAGAAGAACTAACGAGAAGCAAGATTATGGAAAGAATATGAGAGGAATCGTACCTGAGTGTTTGGAGGCTATTCTCTGATCATCACTATTGTTGGAGCCGCATCTGACGGACTCCGATTGATAAGGTGTCGCAATCTCTTGTTTGATACTTTTTGTTGTTTCTTTTATCGGTTATTGCTTGCTTCCCAAATCATTCTTCTACAAACTCTCGGTACCGTAGCTGGAGGTGCAGAGTCCCTAATTTGTGGTCCTGTTTACGGCTTTGGTTGAAGCCTTACGCTGACCGTGAGGCAATTTGAAACGAAAAATGAAAGCAAGGCGTGATAAGCGAAAACAAAAACAAATTGGACGGAGATGGTGATGAATCTGATGCGACAAGGAGAACACAGAGATGAGGCCGAACAGAGAAGGGAGTTGGACGAAGTTGATGGTGGTAAACAATGAGGCTGACGATGGTGTTTTGATGAGGTTGATCGGAGAGGATTCTGCCGCCGCTCTTTGGGAGAGGAGGAGAGAATTTCTTTTCTCATGGAAGTCCATCGTCCACAATATTTCGAACCCTAATCCCTTCTTGCATTGTTCCACCATTTATTATTATTATTTTTTATTTTTTTATTTTTTTTTTCAAGAATTAAATGAAACTAAATTGACAATGTAGAAAACAGGTATGGATCAGGGGCTATGCGAGTTGGGCTTTGGTGCACTAAGGCCTAGTGACATTTTTTGGAAAACATTGTAAAAAGGGACTTATTGGATCATTCCTACATGGGCTTAATGCTTCATTTTGTTTGCTATACAGTGCCACTACATGCAGTTTACACCCCCTGACTTTCCTAATCTCATTAATATTTTAGTTTTGCTTCTAGTTAAATTTTTTCCTCTTAATTGATAATAAAAATGATACAAAAATAGTAGAATGTTTTAGGAAATTTTTTTAGATTCTCTTTAGAATTTTATTAGAATTTTTACTATTTTCATGTTTAATAATCTTTTGTTGTCATTTTTAGCCAAGATTTCGTGATGGTATTGATGCAATCTTTCGCGATTGGGAATATTTGGAGATTAAATTATTGATAACAATCTCATAAAGCTTGATAAAAAATTATACTTGAGTGAGGAGTTTCAGGAAGTTCAAAGCTAGCTAAGAGCATAATTTTCATCAAAGAATTAAAGGAGGCTTATGCAGAGTTTTCTTATGGCTTGCATGGTTATGAAGAGGCAACGGACCTTCTCCGTTCGGTATCGTCACAACTCTATTTTATTACTTATTCCTGCATTTTACCACTTTCTAGATATCATGAGAAGTAGGAAATAAAGAGTGTGCGCTCGAAGTCGCTGTTTAAAGACCTGTAGCAGGCATTCTGCACTTCATTTACCATATGTGTTGTGCTTGTGTTTGTTTACTTTCTTGTCGATCGATGAGTCACTCAATTTAGCAATTGAGATCACGACTTCGCTCTCAGTGCATGCTCCCTATAGGATTTTATCGCTTTCCGTTCTTTCTTGTTTATCGATGAGTCACTCAATTTAGCAATTGAGATCACGACTTCGCTCTCAGTGCATGCTCCCTATAGGATAGTTTTTAGACTTTTCTTTGACATGCTAACCTAGGCAAGATCTCTTTAGGTGTGCTTTCTTTTTTGCTGGCTTTCTTGCTTTATCCTTGTACATACCATGCTCCCTTAGGATGCGCTTGCTCCGGTCGGGTGCAAGTTAGACCTTAGGTTGTAAACCATACATGCTGACATTAGGTAGAAACTTTCCCTTTCATCCTTTACATAGGGCTACCATTGCTTGATAACATTAGGTTAGAAATAGGATAGTCTCCCTTAGACTCTTTTCTTCCCCTCTTTTCATCCTTGCATTCAAAACAAAAACTTCCTTTCTTAGCAAATCATAAAACCATGCTAATCACACTTAAACCCTTTTTCAAGGTAACAAAAATACAAAACAAATTCAAACCATTTTGTGCGCTCGAGCACCTTTTCTCTAAACCCTTTTTCAGGTAAGGACATGATTAATTTACTTCTGTACCAACGCATAAGTCTCCAAAGGTCGAGCTGCGGCAGAAGGCGGAATTAACATTGTCCATAAAAAAACACAAAACAAACAAAAACATGTGAGCCGAACTACGGTAGCTCTGATTCCTTGAAAAGGATACGTAGGCATTGGGGTAGGGCCCAGGCGAGCACAATTTTATTTTCCCTACATTATTTTCTCCTTTCTTTTGCATGCATTTTTCCTCCAGTAGTATAGTAGACAGTAAGCATAGATTAAACACACCCATAAGATAGATAACAAGAGTGGATACCGTAGAGTACTACGGGCGTGTGGGGTGCTAATACCTTCCCCTCGCGTAACAGACTCCCTTACCCGATCTCTCGGTCGCAAGACCGTGACTTCTCCCTCCTCGGGTTTTCTCGATGTTTACCTTTCCCTACATGTGGGATAAAAGACGTTCGATGGCGACTTCATTGTTTTGATGATTTTCAGTCGGTTGTTTCACATGAACGCCATTAATAACCACTTATAAGGTTTCTTAAAATTCAAACAGTTATTGCATACGTTTTCTTCATCAAAACCAATTCTTGCCGTCAAGAGTTGGAAGAGAATTCAGAATAGTGTTAGTACCATTCATCTTCACAACGATTGATTGACAACAACCCAGAATCTCGGAAATACGATCTCTGACATGTGATTCTTGAAAACACGATCATGAATTTAACTGGAACTCTATGTACCAATTTATTAGTACGTGAGACACTTTTAATGAGGAAAGAAACAGATAATAAGGAAACACATATTGTATTATTGAATTGAATTGTTACAAACTGATTTACAAATTAGTCTATTTATATACAACTAACTTGTAAGCTAAATAGACTAACAAACCCTAATTGAATTTAAGCTTATATTAGACATCTTAGATTATATGTAATATTATATCTAATATTATTATATCTAATAAATTTCAATAAATGGGCAGCACCAAAAATTAAACTAAGATCCAGTTATTTTTTTATGTGTTATTATTATCATTATTTTTAATTCGTCACATAATTTACGCAAATGCTATATTCCACAAATCTATCAAAGATTAAATGAACTTTCCAACACACATGTAATCCTCTCTTCCAAAAAGGCCAGTCAAAATTGTGCCCTTCCCGTTTGTCCTTACCCTTATCCCTAACTAACATTACCCTAATACAATTATTAATATTGAATATGATCGATCTTCCTATTCTATATATCATCCCATCATTCACCAACAATCACAATTCACTTTGCACCTTCCTTCTTGCGTTTCACAGTTCTACTATCAATTTCCTCTTGCTTATCTTTTATTTTTCTATCAAAATATTCTCCTCGCAGCAAAGGCCAAACTTAAAAAACAAAACAAAACAATGACAACTTCGGTATCTCAAGAAACCGTTGTTACCTTGGTTTCTCGTACTGGCAGGGAGTTACAACGCTACCGAAAAGGTCGTCGTCAAGTTGTCGGGTTTGTTGTCTCTTGACTCCAACATATATATTTTTACTAAGCCTTAAAGGGTTTGTTTCTAATGGTTAATGTTCATGTAGATGCATACCATATAGATACATAAGTGGTGACCAAGCTTCCATAGGGGAAAATGAAGAATTAGAAGTTTTGGTTATTACTTCTAAGAAAGGAAAAAGAATGTTATTTCCTAAGGTAAGCCTGTGCATCAAAGAATTGCATGATATTTTGTTATTTTGATTTGCAATTATCGTTAAACAAGTCATTGCAAAAACAATAGGGAGGATGGGAAATTGACGAATCAAAAAAGGAGGCAGCGTTGCGAGAAACCATGGAGGAAGCAGGAGTAAGAGGCATTGTACAGGTGAATCTATACTTGAGCGAGGCTTAGAATACATAAACTTAAACCTTCAAGTTGAAGTTTATTTTTGCTGATATTGTTGTTGGGTTGGTGCAGGGTAAGTTAGGTAAGTGGAGGTTCAAGAGTAAAAACCATGGTTCTTCATATGAAGGATACATGTTCCCTCTACTTGTTCAAGAGCAATTAGAGATTTGGCCAGAGCAAAGTTTTCGTCAAAGAAAATGGGTATGCAGAAAAAAAATACTTAAATATAAATGTTACTAGTATTTGACGAATAAAAAATGCTTAAATATATAATTATTTTTGGAAGAAAACGGCATGCGTGCATGGAACAAATATGGTTTGAATTTGTCCTTTTCTTTTTTATTCCCTTCTTGTTACTTCTTCCAAAATGATTACGGTTATTGATAGATCAGTGATTGAATTTTCTATTTATATTTTTGGATATAGATGAATGTTTCAGAAGCAAAGGAAGTTTGTCAACAGTGGTGGATGAAAGAGGCATTAGAGAGACTAGTAAATCGTCTCAAGGGTCAGAAACTTGATCATGTAAAACAATTAGTAGTAGTAGGTTCTGTTCAGTGAACAGGAGACGCCAATTCTGACTTGTGAACATGGTAGTTTCCTGGACATTGATACATAGATAGAGCTCAGTCTAAAATTATAGCATATGGAATTTGTACAAATATTACTTATTAGTCTTATAATATATAATAAAAGATTGTGGTAGATCACATAGAAGAAGTAAACAATTCATCCACCTATTTCCTTAGTTATATATAGGAAAACAAATTTCATCTTTTAAATTAAAATTCTTAGAGTGACTTGTAATGCCAACCACACTCAAAACGAATTTTACTTCAGTTTGGTGGTCAAAATAAAGAAGAGTATCATGAAAAGTGTGTCATTTTTTCTCGATTGATATATCAAGTGAGGGAAAAAATTTATTAGTTATGAGTTTGATCTCTACCAACTGTATTTTTATATTTTTAAAATAGGAAAATATGTGCCGCTTTTCCTCTCCATTGATTTTAGTATTCGAGATCAAATGTAGGTATTTATTACCTCGGTAGAGAGTTACAATCGAGATGAAAAACATTTTTTAAAAATATTATTTCATTTTTATTTTGACCTTTATATACATATTTTGTGATATAATTTATATACACATGTTGAACAGGAACCTACATACACATGTTTTTGGAGTGTCATTTTTTATAAAGCCTTAGATCAGCGCGTCCTCGTTCAACAATTGGGCAATCCAGAAGGAACCTAGAAGAATCTCCCGAGAGGCTCCACCAGCGTGGAAGCAAAGCTAGAAAAAATTCTCGCTGATTTTGAGAAGATAGATAATCAATAACCTTCTCCAGTAAAAGGAGAGATGTTAAGACCACGACCAACAGGTATAAATCCCAGATCCTCGAGGCCTCTAAAAATACGTCATCCCTCAAAGAGATAGAGGACAGATTCTAACTCATACACACTCCCTTCGTTACCCAAAACGCTCATAATCACCATAACATATTCAACGAAAGCAACCGCCTGCCTGCAACCTAGCAGTGCCGATTGAAGGGTTACTTCCGCAAGTATACAAAATGTATGATAGTAATATAAATGATTGTTGAACCACAAAGATCTAATGGTCAATCTACCGTTTTCTATTTCTACGGTGTATATCTTAGGCAATCGAAAAATGAGGGTTGAAGTAGGAAAACAAAATAGAATAATAAACTTGAATTAATTCAGGAATGTAATACTGGAATGCGGCTCTCATCGATCAATGGTACTCTTATTATTCCCAAGTCGAACTATTTATGAGACAATATTGTCTTCCTTGAAAAGGAATTAATTAAAAAGGAATCGTCCCTCTCGCGTATTCGGAACCCGATTTTACTCTCTAATTCATATCGTTCTTTCTCGCGTAGCCGGCGGACTTTGCTTTAAAGTAGCAAAAACCCTTTTTTAGAAATTAGATTCTTTTACTTAAACAAAAAGTAGTTTTGATTGTAAAGTTAAACTTTAAAGGGTTCTCGGCTTTCGCTCGAATAAACACAACCGAAAATAGTTTTAAAATCACTTTATGAAAATATCAAACTTTCCTAATTAATTAATAAATTTCTCTTGTAGTGTTTATTAATCAAAACATAACAATTTTAATCTTAGATAGCGGGCGACTTTCGATCTTACCCGGCGTAATTGATTCTACTCTGATAGTAACCAATCAAATTAATCTTGAAAAATTGAGATAAAATCAAAACAGTCCCAAAAGTAATTCTAAAGGAATAACAGACAGAATACCGTTGAATCGACGGTTCTCACATTCCAGCACTATTAGATTAGTCAGACATATATAATAAACAATAAAATATTTGATTGAAACTTAGAATTAGACATAATAGGAAAAATAATTAAATCTTAGAATGTACAATTGATAAATTGAACTTTAAAATTAAAGTAAAGACAATAACTTGAATATATATATATATATATATATATATATATATATATATATATATATATATATATATATATATATATATATATATATATATATATATATATATATATATATATATATATATATATATATATATATATATATATATATATATATATATATATATATATATATATATATATATATATATATATATATATATATATATATATATATATATATATATATATATAAGCAAACAATATAATTAAACAATACTTAATAATAAAAATATACTCCGAAGGAGTCTTGAATCTGGTACAATGTAAATCAAGAGAAGACTTGAAAATTAAAGCAAATACTGACAATATTAATTGCTACAAATAAGTCCTCCAAATTTAATACTAGAATGATGCAATAACTTCCCGATGTGAACAGTTAAAGCTTTCAAATGGTAAATATATGGCTTAAGTTGTGTAAGCTTGGATGCCTTTAAAAGTGAGATTTTTCATGTATTTATAGTGTTCTAAACCCCTAAAAAGTAAATTCAAGGATTTTGAGTTCGTGTGAGAGAAGATACAGAGAAATGGGTGACCATTCTAAGTCATTGGCGTTTTTCTAGTTTTACAAGGTGTGGCGAATGCCAGACACCCTATGGTGAACGCCACAAGTTAAAAACATGTTGATCTTGGGCTTTTGGTTGCTGGAACATGGGCTTCATTAATCCATTTCATGGAGACCCCTATGGCGAACGCCATGCAGAGTGCCATGAGTACAAAATGTGACTTTTCCCCTGTTTTTCGCCTGATTCATCCCATTTCTATATGTAATGACTTTCACAATATTAGGTACTTGAAACATATATCAAATACTAGTACAAAACTAGAAATAAGAGTAAATGAATATAAAGCATGTGTGAATCAAGTCGAATATGTAGTGTGTTTCGGTGTTATCAAACTATCCCACACTTGCATCATTGCATGTCGTCAAGCAAAACCTGTACTAAGATCCACAACTTCTCTTCTTAGTGCATTGAGCTCATAGTAGTATGACGTTTATTAGAAGAATATGAGGAATAGGATGATGAAGATACATCTGAATATTAAGCAGGGTGATACTCAGAAGCGGGAGGAGTCTCAGGTGGTGATGGGGACTCATCCTGGTTTTCTAACAGATATCGCCAGTTTTCGCGATTGTGAACACTTATTCTCTCTGAATTAGGAAATGTGAAATGGTGAACGACTTCGTTCAAAATTATTATACTGAATTGGTTATGCTCCTCTTGCCTTATTAACCCTTGAGATAAACAATGTTCTATGTTTATTAGGTTATAGACACAAAAAGGAACTAGCTGGAACACTTGGTTTCGCAAGCTAAGGCTATAGCAATGTGGGTCACAATACCGCCTACATAGATGTTTTCTATGATATGGTTAGCTAATATGTCTAAACTAGCAAGCAATAATAATGCAGAGTTAACACGACGAGACTGAAAGACAGTGAACATAAAGAATACTTCTTATTTGCTAACGGGTCCAATATATTGAGCCTTCCCAAAGAATGTTTGAGTTGCAGCCATCTGGAAGTACATAATGGATGGGTTATGGATAAGAGGGGAATTCATCCTCTCATGATCAGGTGGATAATCCTCATTGATAATACCCCCAAAAAGTCTAATTTTGCTTGTATGTACTTATCATCACTGGGTACCTCAGAGTAAACATGAGGTCTGTGAGCAAATCCTAGTATTGTAGCTAACTCTCTGGTGGTAAGTTGGTAATCATGTCCAAAAAACCTAAATATACCCAAGCTTCTACCACGGCCCAGCCCTATGTGACGGTTGTACCTAAAAGAACTCAGGGATTCTAAGGTATGGTTTATGTAAGTATGATGTTTAGCTACTGAGAATCGATCCCAGTTTAACTGGTTAAACATGAATTTGACACTATCCTAGATTCCTAAGGTGACTGGGCTTGGAAAGTCTGGGTAGTGGGTGGGTGAGATGACTCACTCAATTAAGGTTGTATAACGCCTCTTCTTGGCGTTGTTCTTAAAAACGACCCTCATATTATCTTCTTTCAGCATCCTAGAATAATGTTAATAGATAAATTTGGCAAAGGAGAGTGCAGCAGCCCTGAAAAGAAAACACACACAAGTTAGAAATTTATTAATTAAAATTCACCATTTTCTATAAAAAAAAGGGAAATATGCAAAATAATATAAAGGGAATCATGGGTTTACTCCCACACAACACTTTGTTTAACGCCGGTAGCTCGACGGTTGTTTTAATCAAGTTGTTGGTGTAACAAGGTGTGGTTCTGTTAAAGTATGGTGGGAATAGTAAGTAGGATTATCACCGCTGTTATAATGTTTTAATATTTTTCCATTCACAATGAAAGGACCAATTGATTGGTTTTGAATTTCAATGGCACCAGATTGCATGACTTTTGTGACTTCAAACGGTCCAGACCATCTGGAATATAATTTACCTAGAAAAAGGCACAACCTGGAGTTGAATAGAAGTACTAAGTCACCTACAGTGAATTCTCTTCTTGCAATTTTCTTATCATGCCATTCTTTGGTTCTTTCTTTGTAAATTACAGCATTTTCGTAGGCATCATGTCGGAGTTCATCTAATTCGTGGATATCTAATACGCGTTTGTTACCCAGCTGTCAAATAATCCATATTCAGGGCCTTTATAGCCCAGTAGGTGTTGTGTTCTAATTCAAAAGGTAGGTGACAATATTTCCCATAGATTAACTTAAAGGGGGTCATCCCTATATGGGTCTTATAGGCAGTCCTAAAATCCCACAATGCGTCTTGTAGCCTAGAGGACCAATCTTTTCTAGAAATGGAAATAGTCTTATCTAGAATATGTTTTATTTCTCTATTTGACAATTCTACTTTTTCGCTGGTTTGTGGATGATAGAGTGTTGCTACTCTATGTTTCATGACATACTTTATTAAGAGAATCTCAAAAAAATTTGAAATGAAATGGGATCCACCATCACTTATAACGAGGCGAGGCACTCCAAACCTGGGGTATATATAGTTTTTAAACATCTTAATAACTACCCGTGCTTCGTTCGTGGGTAAGGAAATAACCTCGATTTATTTAGACACATAATCGTAAGCAACAAGTATATAC